TTCCCTGTGATACATGCAGCTGGTCGAGAATCACTCAAGCGTAGTGCGTAATTCCCACATCTGCTTTAAAATACTGGCTTTTATCAAGTTTAGGGGGAAATGATCTTTTCAACTGAGTGTGGGATAAGCCTAGTTATTGTTTGTGTTCTGGGTCACCATTTTTTAACTGGGCTTAGGGCAAAATAGTAGTTAAGAGCTTGGCTTAAAGCTTCTTTTATTTTCTTTTTCGGTTGTAAGTGTTCACGGTAAAACATACGGGCAAAAATAAACGATGTTTCGACCACTCTTCGGTCATTCTCAAGTTAAATGATGAGGGTAAAAAAATTACCATATAAATATATATAGGGAGAGAGATGATGAAGCAACAATATGTGCAAATTTATATAGTTGATAAAAAATTTTTGCATACTTTTAGTGTTCTTAACACTCCGTTTTCATCTTTTAGCACGTATATTTACTTCGTTCTCTCTCTCCCTATATATATATCTATATGTTATTTTTTTTACCCTCATCATTTAGCTTGAGAATGACCGAAGAGCGGTCGAAACATCGTTTATTTTTGCCCGTATGTTTTACTGTGAATTGTGTTAAAAAACCCTTATTAATAAGGTTTTGAGTGTGAAATGAATTTTTTTGGCCCCATTCAGGCTTTGTCTAGGCATGTATGTGAACATTGTGCTTGTAGTATAAATCGATAAACAATGTCATAGGGGGACTTTTATAGTGTCGACTACTGTGGCTCACTGTGTTGTGCTGTGCCTTTTATGCAAAAATATGCAGGGAAATCTTCAAACGCTTGGTTTTCAGTGGTTAAACTACAGGTGTAGTTCTAAGCTTATAATACACTTACTGTACTGAACACGTTTTAAAAATTGATATCTTCTTCAGGTGGGGAATTAGTGAGAAAAATTCGCAAAACAAACTCAGTCAACTCAGCTGATGTCCTTACGGCTGCTGGGGAATCCAGCCAAACTGATCCTACTGCATTCATTGAACAACAGCATCAGATTTTTAATGAAATAAGGCTGTCCAGGGAAAAGGGTCAACAAGAAGAAAACTGGCAACGACCATTAAGTGAGATGGAAGAGCGGGTGAAAAGACTAGAAGAGCAACTGAGAGAGAAAGACCGTGAATTAGAAAACTCTGAAAGATTATCGAGCGAAAGAGAACAGCACTTGACAAATATTCAAAGGCAATTGCGGGAAAAAGAGTTACAAGAGGCCAGCTTACATGAACAGCTGAGAGAAAAAGACCAACAAGAGCAGAACTCAAAAAAACAATTAAGGGCGATACAACAACAGCTGAAAGAGAAAGACGAACAGGAAGAGAATTTACTGCGAGAGATGGTACAACTGCTGAGAGACAAAGACGAGCAACGAGAGAATTTTCAGGACCGTCTAAGAGAGATGGAACAATGGCTAAGAGAGGGAGAAGATCAAAAAGATAATTTACAAAGACAACTTAGAGAGATGGAACAAGAGCTAACAAACCTACAAGGACAATTTCGAGATAAAGAGGGCGAAACGGCTAATTTACAGGAACAAGTTACTACACAAGAACGACAACTGAGGGTTAAAGACCAGCACGTAAGTGAATTGGAGATAACTCTTTCAACAGCTCAGCAAGCGTTGAGTGAACACCAACGCCGACGGGTCACACCTGACTGGGTCATTTCCCGAGATCAAATTCAGCTGACAGATAAATTCCTTGGTAAGGGAGGCTGGGGAAGTGTTGTCGAGGGGAAATACTGTGGCTGTTCTGTAGCAGTGAAGCA